CGTAATCCAAATTAAACGCAAAATGGGATATAAATAAAATGTAAATACATTTAATGAAAGTTGTACTAAAGACAAAATATCAATCGACTTAAACATAACCTGTTGTATCGGCGGCTCTTGTTTGCGATAAGTGGATACCCTTATCAATCGTAACACCTTTTGTTGAATGCCTTCAATGGAGCTGATAAGTGATATAATTACATTAAACACAGACAGGCAAACAAAATGACCACAATGTGATACACCTGAGTTCCGCAGTTTTCAATCTAATGCCCACTTACTTTCAACGCTATTGTAGAGCTTGGATCAGATGAGTTGATGGTTGGCAGTACTGGGAACGCAGGTGTATCACCAGTAGTGCGCTTGTAATATTCAATTCGCACTATTGCTTACTTCAGTCACAAAATTGGTTGCTTGAGTGAGGAGAGCGTTCGCATTAGGATTTCTTAAGCAATCAAAACCTGTTTTCAATTTCAATTGCTGGACAGCTCGAGTGGGCGTGGATTGACCCAAGTCCAGTCACTAGAGCGTTCGCACTAAAACTTCAGAAAGCTGACTAACGTAAGAAAGGTCCCTCGCTTGCTCCGATAAGTCAAGTGACTGAGGTGTTCGCACTGTGCTTAAGTCTAGTTAGTTTGCTTGTAAGCAACAGTGCGAATTGAATATAATAGCACTCATACTTCACACACAAATGCTTGGGTTGTTTGAAATGTGCGGACAAAACACCACAACAGGATGTTATATGATATCCGCTCAGAATCGCAAACACTTAGTGAGACATCTGTTGTCAATATTTTTAATGTCTTTTTATGCGTTAAAAATGTTTAAACATTCAATTTTAGTTTTCAGTGTAATAATTAATTTAATTGCGATAACAATTAGTTGCTCACCGATTGTCACCGATAATGAGCGCACCGGACGTTCCGACCGAACCGTTCCCGTTGTCGGCACTGTTGCCGAAGAGGGAGACGACCGCCGCCTCCTTCCTCACCAAATACCCCGAATATGACGGCCGAGGCGTGAAGATAGCCGTTCTTGACTCAGGCATAGATCCCGGCGCTCCCGGTCTTCAGGTCTGTGTTTAGGCTAACGATTGACAATTCAATTGTGAAATTGATGTCAATTTGTTTAAATGAAGTGAATGTCAATGCATTTGAATCGCCGACTCTTTAGACCACAAGTGATGGCAAACCGAAGATCATTGACTTAATGGACGGCTCGGGTGCCGGAGATGTGGACACGTCTACTGTTGTCGAAGCGGATATCGACGGCTTTATTACGGGTTTGACGGGTACTAAACTTAAGGTAAGTTTGTTTTGATTTTTTACAACAAAACATTTTCCAAGTAATGACTGTCTTAACGGATCAGATCCCGAGCCAATGGCAGAACCCTTCGGGCAAATACCACATCGGAGTGAAGAATATCTACGAGTTGTTTACGAAAGGAATGCGCGAACGGATGGCCAAAGAATACACTGAGAATGAGTGGCAACCGATGCAGAAGACGGCGATCGCCGAAGCCGTGCGACAGCTCCAGGAGTTCGAGAGGACTCATTCGGACGCCTCGGCAGACAATACCGAAGAGAAGCTGATCCGCGAAGACTTGCAATCGAGAGTTGATTTTCTCAAACAGTTGGACAAAAAGTTTACGGATTTGGGACCGACTTATGATTGTGTGGTCTTTAATGACGGCAAGCATTGGAAGTAATGAATGCAAGAGTTTTGCGGTTTATTTCGTTATATTTGTCATTAAATATATGTTTTATACCAATAGAGGAGTTGTGGACACTTCAGGCGCCGGCAAACTTGAAGACTGTACACTATTAGGCAATTATAGGGAGTGTTTGAAATACGGGACACTTTCTGATAGAGGTATTGATTGTATAATTAAATTTCTTATCAATTAAATGGTTTTATGTCTCACTTCGTGGCCACAGATCTACTAAACTATGGAATCAATATCCATAACGAGGGAAACGTTTTGGAAATCGTCTCAATATGTTGTCAGTATTTAGTAAATAAGTTTTAATTACGATTTTCATTACTTTTGTGCTAAAAATTAATTAAATTATGTCACAAAACAGCGCCTCACGGGACACACGTGGCCAGTATAGCGGCCGCGCATTTCCCGAACGACCCGGAGAGGAATGGTGTGGCGCCGGGCGCTCAGATCATCAGCATATGTATCGCTGACATGAGAGTGACACCTATGGAGACCGGAACCGCTTTAATGAGGTTTGCTTTAAGATTTATTGACTATTTTAAAACTATTAATTGGTTTTCAGAGCACTTGTCCGGGTAATAGAGAGCGGGTGTCACGTGATTAACATGAGTTACGGAGAGGCCGCCCATTACGCCGAAGGGTTTGTGTGACCAATGGTTTTGTGTCCGCAATGTTTGCCATTTTCTGTTATTTTTAGCCGTATTTTGGATTTCATACACGAAATTGTCAATAAATACGGCGTTATATTTGTGGTCGCGGCTGCAAACATGGGTCCAGCGCTGTCCACTGTCTGGACGCCGTCCACAATGCACTCTTCATCCATGATATCAGTCGGCGCTTACGTGTCGCCCGATATGATGGCTGCCGAGTACTCGATGCTTAAGAAGATGCCCGGAATGAGCTACAGCTGGTCGTCGAGAGGACCCACGTATGGCCACAATATTGTGGATTTGTTTTTGTGTTAAATATTATGTTTTTTAATTAAATGATAGCACAAATGGAGACCTGGGAGTATCAGTGACGGCTCCGGGCGGTGCCATAACATCGGTGCCCAACTGGTGCCTCAAGAAGTCGGTGTTAATGAACGGAACGTCGATGTCGTCGCCAAACGTTGCCGGATGTGTCTGTCTTTTGGTGTCCGGACTGAAGGCCCGGGCAATCGATTACTCGCCTTACAGTGTCCGCCGAAGTATAGAGAACACTGCCCTCAAGAGTATACAAAACTACGAGCCCTTCACTCACGGACACGGACTCATACAAGTGCTGTCTAACACCCATTGATATCACTTTCTGGTCACAGAATATTCTGTAATATATTCTTTGATTTATAGGTAGAGAAAGCCTTCGAACACTTGACTCAATTCAAAGACTCGGTCGAAAGGGATGTCCGCTTTCACGTAACGATTGACCAGAATTTAGGCGTTTATCTCCGACAACCCGAAGAGGTGGCCAATCCATCGATACAACAAATTAGTGTTGACGCGATTTTTCTAAATGACAAACAAATTGGTATATTTTTATACATAAATATTTTCACTGAAAACTAGTGTTAAATGTTTTCTCTTTTAGATAACAATCGAAAAGTAGATTTTGAGATGAATTTGATTCTCATTTGTGACAACGAGTGGATAACGTGTCCGTCGTTTTTGCACTTAACGTACGGCAGAAAGTTTTCTATTAAAGTGGATCCGCGAGGACTGGAGGACGGGAGGGAACACTTCGCGTTCGTACGTATCATACGTGCCATTAATTGATTCAATAGCCGAACATATACTAAATCATTAGATCCGAGCCTACGATACGAATTGCATAGAAAAGGGTCCCGTATTTCACATTCCCGTCTCCGTAATAAAGCCCATGAAGTAAAACGACCACAATTTTAATGCCTTAACTAAATGCTTGTATAATTACGTCCATAGAATACCCGAGTCTAAACAACTGAAAAGCACTCAAAAGTATAAACCGGGTTATTTTAAGCGCCAATTTGTGGACATACCCTCGTCAGTGAATTCGGTGGTCATTCGGGCCAAGAATCTGGACCCACAAGAGAGCGGTTTGTTTGTCATTCACTGCCAACAACTGTCGCCACTGCTGTCCAATCAAACCCATTCCGCCAAAAACTTCTTCTCATTGGAACCGTTGGCTGAGAATACTTACGCTATTCCTCTAAAAAGTGGCCGCACTCTTGAGATCTGTTTTGGGAAGTGGTGGTCGAGTATTGGCGAGTCTTCAGTTCAATTGAATGTACAATTTTACGGACTCCAGCCATCGCTTGACTCATACACAATGGTATTATAGATTATATTGAAATTAATCATAAATTTAATTATTAATTGTTTTGTTTAACGAATCAGTTGTCAAGTGAAGGCATTTCGCGATTAGATATTCAATCAAACTTTGGTTATGAAGTGATTTCGCCCAATATTTTGCTGCAGACATACGTTCAGCCCTTAAGGTCTGCAATAATTGCCTCAATTTTATGTTATTTACAATTAATATTAATTTTATTGTCCAATTATAGACCCGTTGAGAGTAAAGTGCGTCCACTAACTGCTCGCGATGTCATACCTATCGGTCGACAAATCTATGAAAATGTTTTGACTTATAATTTTCAATTGGTTTGCATTTTTATGGCATTAATATTATTATTATTTTTTAAAATGATTTTTGTCTTAAAACTCAGTCCAAAGCGACCGTAGTTTACATCTCGTGTCCGCTTCTATCGGATGTCTTATTTGAATCGGAATATGATTCGCAAATTTGGATGATTTTTGACGCAAATACTAAGCAATTGTTGGCCACCGGAGACGCCTATCCAATCATTTGGAATGTATTTGTCAATTCATTAACAGTTATGAAACTGATCCCAAACTTATGTTAATTATCTCTTTGATGGCTAGTATTGGGTGAAACTAGAAAAAGGCGAATACACTGTTCGGATGCAAATCCGTCACGAATTGGTCGCACAATTGGACAAACTGTCAGATCTGTCGATCAATGTTCACCAGAAGCTGACTCCCGGCGCGTCGTTGAGTCTCTACGAGACCTACAAGAATGCCATCACTGATGGCGAGAAGTTTGACACATATGTGTTGCCACCAAACTGTCACAAACCGGTGTTCGTGGCGGCGATGACCGAACTGCCGAAGGGTCTAACGGTGGCCGCCGGCGGCTATTTCTCCGGTCACATAACGTTCACCAAATCAGAGGTTCGCAAAAAAGCGGAACAGTTTGCCTTCAAATACGTGGTCGACAGCGAACCACAGATGAAGCCCAAAGACAAGGACAGCAATAGTGCCGAAGACTCCGCCGATAAGAAGACCACTGCCGACGGTTTGCCCGAAAAGTCTTTGGAGGAACAGTTCAGCGAAGCGTTGATTGATTTAAAAATATCTTGGATTTCAAGGTTTTATGTCTTTTGAATTCCCTTTCAATGAAAGTTTTTATTTATTTTTGTTTGTCTCGTGTTTTAGATTAAAGGGTAAATCATCGGAAGACGTATTCACTGAACTTCAGGCCACAAACAAAGCCAATACTCAGCTATTGTTGGCCCGAATGCAAGCGCTGGACGCCGACCCTCAACGCGGCCAACACCTGACCACTCAAATCAATTTAGCGAACGATGTCTTGGATTTGATAAAAGTTAGTGATTTGATCGCTTCGTTGGCTGTCGTGAAGAGTGAGAAGAAGGACACCAATAATTCAACCAATAATACAAACAATACGGCACTCAAAAAGTATTGAAAATACAGTTTTTTAATGTTTTGTAAATTATTTTTTAATTGCATTCAAAGTTTGGAGAAACAAAAGACAACTGTTTTGGAAGCTTTGGTGAAGAAGGGTATCGCCATCTGTGACCTAATCGACGCCCAGACCGCGGACTCGATCGCCGCCTCTAACGCCAAACTCTCTCCGACTGGCGACCACTTTGTCTCCGACGCGAATCAAGTTTATGCCGAAATCTGTAAACTCGCCGATCCTTACGACCAAAAAGTGGCCAAATTTACCGAACGTCACGCCCTTTTGCACCGACACTTCGGTCGAGCCATCAAACTGTTTGCCAAACTCCAGGAGTCGAAGGCGTCCCACGAGTTGGAGCTCAAGACCATTAATGTATGTATCGATTGATTAGTGATTTGTGTTTTGTTTTTTAATTGCAATTAATTGTGTTTTTTATGTTTGTTTTGAAGGCATTCAAGCAATTAAATTGGACTCATTTGGAGGCCGCGTATAACCGATCCATTAATGTTAAGTTTCCCAAAGATTATCGACTATTTTAATGGCATTTAATGTTTTGAATTTGAATATAAACTTAAATATAATAATGTTTTGCTATTTTTGTAATATTTATACTTGAAAATAAAATACAATTAACAATTAACTTAATTAATTTAGTGCTATATTTCATTTTAAATGGCATTCATATTACGGTACAACCAATTTAATCTAGCCCAAATTTTGCAGCTTATACTACACCAGCCAACGTAATGTATTTACCATTTATGTTTATTTAGTTTTCTATCAGACAATGCATTACAGAACACTATAATATGAGCTTGGTAATTAAATATCATTATATTTGAGTCGACTTGATAATTAATAACTTATTTAACTTACCATCTCTCATTTAACAGAGTTTGCAATTTGCAAATTGCAATGCTCATTGCGTATAACAATGTTAACACTTAAACCATCTCTCAATAAGGGGCTAATGTATTAGTAATACGTTATATGTGAACGACTCGCACAGTAAACAATGCGATCATATGTTTCGTAACGTTATATTCATTGAGTGTTTTAAAAGTGAGATTCAATTTCAACGCAAAACTGTTTGACTATAAAAATAAATCACAAATTTTTGAGCGTTTAGTTAATTGTCATTAAATTTAGTTTACTTTTACTTATATAACCCATATATAGGCCTACATTTCAAACGGGGTAAGTGTGTTGTTAACTCATTTAAACCATGTGTTAATTGTGTAAAGTATTTGTTGTTTTTGTTATCAAAAATAAATATCAATACAAAAATAAAATCTATTTTTAAAACTTTTTTGTTTAAAAAGTAAATAAAAATGTATTTATTTTTTTGGCGTTAATTTTGTTTTAATTTAATTATAATTTTGTTGACAATTATTTGACACCAAATGTTTGTCTCAATTGTTTGTCGCAAACAAATTGTGTTGAAATTAACGGCTATTTTATGTGACAAAAAATTGTCGACTCATTCCTACTGTAAATAATGAAAACACTTTATAATTATGTTATAAATAGTGATTAAAACTATTAATAAAACACATGATTAGTTATTATGCTATTAAACTAATCTCGTTGTTATTTCTCCCCCTTATCTCCAGTGCTATAGTGTTGTAGACATTGAAAGACATTTACAAAGACTTGATTTATTGTAGTTTTAATTTGCGTTAAAATAACATTTAGTTTTGTAATCAGTATTAAAATTAAGGTTACATTACTATTAGTGAACGACACGTTTAATCGCCGTTAATTCACTTTTAATTAATTTTAAAAGTAATTCAATTAAATATTATAATTAATTTAATTGCGATAACAATTAGTTGCTCACCGATTGTCACCGATAATGAGCGCACCGGACGTCCCGACCGAACCGTTCCCGTTGTCGGCACTGTTGCCGAAGAGGGAGACGACCGCCGCCTCCTTCCTCACCAAATACCCCGAATATGACGGCCGAGGCGTGAAGATTGCCGTTCTTGACTCAGGCATAGATCCCGGCGCTCCCGGCCTTCAGGTCTGTGTTTAGGCTAACGATTGACAATTCAATTGTGAAATTGATGTTAATTTGTTTAAATAAAGTGATTGTCAATGCCTTTTGAATTCCCGACTCTTTAGATCACAAGCGATGGCAAACCGAAGATCATTGACTTAATGGACGGCTCGGGCGCCGGAGATGTGGACACGTCTACTGTTGTCGAAGCGGATATCGACGGCTTTATTACGGGTTTGACGGGTACTAAACTTAAGGTAAGTTTGTTGGGATTTTTTACAACAAAACATTTTCCAAGTGTTTCCAAGTAATGACTGTCTTAACGGATCAGATCCCGAGTCAATGGCAGAACCCTTCGGGCAAATACCACATCGGAGTGAAGAATATCTACGAGTTGTTTACCAAAGGTATGCGCGAACGGATGGCCAAAGAATACACAGAGAATGAGTGGCAACCGATGCAGAAGACGGCGATTGCTGAAGCCGTGCGACAGCTCCAGGAGTTCGAGAGGACTCATTCGGACGCCTCGGCAGACAATACCGAAGAGAAGCTGATCCGCGAAGACTTGCAATCGAGAGTTGATTTTCTCAAACAGTTGGACAAAAAGTTTACGGATTTGGGACCGACTTATGATTGTGTGGTCTTTAATGACGGCACGCATTGGAAGTAATGAATGCAAGAGTTTTGTGGCATTTATTTCATGATATTCATCATTAATTTTTATATGAATAGAGGAATTGTGGACACTTCAGGCGCCGGCAAACTAGAAGACTGTACACTATTAGGCAATTATAGGGAGTGTTTGAAATACGGGACACTTTCTGATAGAGGTATTGACTGAATAATTAAAACACAAACAAAATGAATTGATTTATGTCTCACTTCGTGGCCACAGATCTACTAAACTATGGAATCAATATCCATAACGAGGGAAACGTTTTGGAGATCGTCTCAATGTGTTGTCAGTATTCGATGAATTAGTTTTAATTGAGTTTTTCATGAATTTTGTATTAAAAAATGTGTCTCAAAACAGCGCCTCACGGGACACACGTGGCCAGTATAGCGGCCGCGCATTTCCCGAACGAACCGGAGAAGAATGGTGTGGCGCCGGGCGCTCAGATCATCAGCATATGTATTGGTGACACGAGAGTGGGCTCTATGGAGACCGGAACCGCTTTAATGAGGTTTGCCTTAAGATTGTTAAATATAATTTTTAAATCATGTAATCATCTCTTGATTGCCTTTTCAGAGCACTTATGCGAGTAATAGAGAGCGGGTGTCACGTGATTAACATGAGTTACGGAGAGGCCGGCCATTACGCCGAAGGGTTTGTTTGACCAATAGTTTTGTGTCCGCAATGTTTGCCAATTAATTGCCATTTTTCTGTTGACTTTTAGCCGTATTCTGGATTTTATGCACGAAATCGTCAATAAGTACGGCGTTATATTCGTGGCTTCGGCTGCAAACAGCGGTCCCGCGCTGTCCACCATCGGTACGCCGCCCACAATGCACTCGTCGTCCATCATATCGGTCGGCGCTTACGTGTCACCCGATATGATGGCCGCCGAGTACTCTATGCGCCAGAAGATGCCCGGAATGAACTACAGCTGGTCTTCGCGCGGTCCTACGTATGGCCACAAGTGTTGCTATATTTAGTCTTGTGTTTAATATTGTATTTTCAATGAATCGATAGCATAAATGGCGATCTGGGAGTGTCGGTGACCGGTCCGGGCGGTGCCATAACATCGGTGCCCAACTGGTGCCTCAAGAAGTCGGTGCTAATGAACGGAACGTCAATGTCGTCACCAAACGTTGCCGGATGTGTGTGTCTTCTGGTGTCCGGACTGAAGGCCCGGGCAATTGATTACTCGCCTTATAGTGTCCGCCGAAGTATAGAGAACACTGCTCTCAAGAGTATTCAAAATTACGAGCCCTTCACTCACGGACACGGACTCATTCAAGTGCTGTTCAGACATCCCTTTACTGTCACAGAATATTCTGTAATATATTATTTGATTTATAGGTAGAGAAAGCCTTTGAACACTTGACTCAATTCAAAGACTCGGCCGAAAGGGATGTCCGCTTTCACGTGACGATTGGCCAGAATTTAGGCGTTTATCTCCGACAACCCGAAGAGGTGGCCAATCCATCGATACATCCCATTAGTGTTGACCCGATTTTCCTCAACGATAAACAAATCGGTATATTTTTACACATGATTTTTTAGCTGAATTTTTAAATGTTTTTTTTTTGTATTTTAGATAACAAACGAAAAGTAGATTTTGAGATGAATTTGAGTCTCATTTGTGACAACGAATGGATAACGTGTCCGTCGTTTTTGCATTTGACGTACGGCTCGAGAGGTTTTGCTATTAAAGTGGATCCGCGAGGACTGGAGGACGGGAGGGAACACTTCGCGTTCGTACGTATCATACATGCAGTCAATTGATTCAATAGCCAAAGAAAGTAAAAACTCAATTATTAAACCATTAGATCCGAGCCTACGATACGAATTGCATAGAAAAGGGTCCCGTATTTCACATTCCCGTCTCCGTAATGAAGCCCATGAAGTAAAACGACCACAATTTTTATGTCTTAACTAATTGCTTATATAATTACATTCATAGAATACCCGACTCTAAGCTTCTGGAGAGCACTCAACATTATAAACCGGGTTATTTTAAGCGCCAATTCGTGGACATACCCTCGTCAGTGAATTCGGTGGTCATTCGGGCCAAGAATCTGGACCCACAAGAGAGCGGTTCGTTTGTCATTCATTGCCAACAACTGTCGCCACTGCTGTCCAACCGAACCGATGCGACCGAGAAGTTCTTCTCGTTGGCGCCATTGGCCGAGAATACGTACGCCATTCCGTTGAAGAGTGGCCGCACTCTTGAGATATGTTTTGGCAGATGGTGGTCGAGTATTGGCGAGTCCTCCGCCCAATTGAGTATTCAGTTTTACGGACTCCAGCCCTCACTTGACTCATACACAATGGTATTATTGTTTTGTCGTGGAATTTAGTGTTAAATTTAATTATTAATTATGTTTTTAATGAAACAGTTGTCGAGTGAAGGCATTTCGAGATTAGATATTCAATCAAACTTTGGTTATGAAGAGATTTCGCCCAATATTTCGCTGCAAACATACGTTCAGCCCTTAAGGTCTGCGATAATTGCCTCAATTTTAT